TGTGTGTGTGTGTGTGTGTGGTGAGAGAGAGCATGCGCCCGCATTAAGGCCATTATAAAGCGTGTGAGGTGTGCGTTTGTGTGTGTGAGGGTATCATCATGTGTGTGTGTCTGTGTGTGTAAGTGTGTGCGTGTGTATGTTCATAATTTGTACTGTGTGTGTGTGTGTGTGTGCGTGTGTGTGAGAGAGAAGAGGGTGTGTGAGTGCGTGTGTGTATGCAAGTGTGTGTGTGTGTTTACAAGTTTTCTTTTTCCTTTTTAACTTCTTTTCTTGTCACTGACTCACTGTCGCAATTAACACCGCATTACTTGTCAGAGTCACTCTGTCACAATTAACGCCGCGTTAGTTGCCACAGCGTCACTCTGTCGTGCTTTGGACCAATCGGGGGGTTCCAGGGCAGGGGGAAAAAGAAAATCAGGGAGGTTGTAGGGGGGGCATGCCCCTTTGACTTGTATTCCCATAATTTGATATATATTTTTACAGTTAGATTTAAAATTTTCCTGAAAAAAATAATTGATTGTACTAATAACTAGATCTAGTTAGAGTTGTACGCACTATTGTACCAATAACCGCAGTCTTATAATAGAACGCCTCGTTCTAGAACAGCTTGGGCTTGGGCTTGGGCTTGGGAGATTTTAAGTTCAAGTTGAACGCTTCAATTTCAGGGCAGCATCAGTCTCACAAAAGAATGAAACTTTAATGTGAGGATGTGAACGTTAGGTCGTGTCATGAGTTTCAGGATAGACTACTACTGTTCTAGATCTAGACTAGTCAACAGTCAACATCATGTGATTTTAATATGACTTACACACATGATTATAAATTGCTGTTTCACAAGTCCGGGCCCAACTGTCAAAAGTGGGACAATGCTACATCGAAATATAAACAACGTATAAACAAACCACCTTCTAAGAATCGGAATCTACTAGTCAATATGCAACACTTTTTACCGTTTCCTCTAGTCGCTGGCCAGCCTTGATGCTGTTTCGAAGTTCCGAAAATTTCTCTTTCTGATTCAAACAACGCTGATCGTATTTTTCCGATTCAGTCGTCGTAACATCATCTGGAACAGCGTCTCTACGTTTACGCAAAAGGCGTAAAAACGACCCCTGGTCAGAATGAGATTCACTTTCTACATCTGAAACACTTTGCTGAAATGATGTGACATGATCTGCAGCAGAACAATATCCACTCCAGAGCGAAATAGAAAGAATAACAAACGCAACAAGCGATGTAAACAACGGCCTTCTCTTCGTCACCTCCATTTTGGTAGATAGACGTCACGTGAGTGTGACGTGAGGCTTTTCTCTTCCTCTTTGCACTGAGAGTTGAGAGCAGAACACTGCAGGATCTTTGATGATTCGACTATAGTATTCGACTATTCGCGTTTTGTGACTACTCCACAAACGAATTAAGAATGACAACAACAGCTTTTTTTTCTGTTATCCATCCGAGGTCAGTACGCCCAGCCCACTTCCTGAATTGTGTCAGTCGGTCGCATCATTGATTGCATTAATAACCGTCTTTCGTTGATTAGAATCTAGTCATTAACAAGTTGCTCTGGGAAAAATGAAAAGAAAATCAACATGTTGCTGTCTAGGTGAGCCTGTGAGTTTTTGGAAGGTATATATGTATATATATGAGGCGTGACCTTTCAGAATTAAGTTGTTTGATTTAGAAGAAGAAGAAGAAGAAGAAGAAGAAGAAGAAGAAGAAGAAGAAGAAGAAG